ACCTGGAAGAAGCTGCAGGCCGAATACCTCAAGGCCTCAAGGCAATCCTGCGGCCAGCGGCCTCATTTTATTCCTTCAACAGTATCTGTAGGCGGTGGATTTTCATGAAACGGGGTCGTCCTTTTCTGGCCGCATCCGTAATATACAGACGTGGACCCGAAGGGGAAGATCAGGGGAAGCAAGAAGGACAGTTTTGGGTGCCAACCAACAACCTCCTCACGACACCCGTTGCTCACTAGCGAGATCACCACTTCCGCTATTAGGTTGGAGGCCATCGCTATCAGGTTGGAGGCCATCGCTCTTAGGTTGGAGGCCATTGCTATCAAATTATATAGTTTAAGTAGGAGGGGGTGGAGCGGGCCAACAAAGAAGTAATTGCTACAGCACATCGGGGAACTTGTCGTGTGCGCAGCAGTCCACTCGTCAGTTTCGTGTGCCCGGACGGGATGTGCCCAAGGTGCCTGTGTGTGGAGATGGAATGCTTGTCCGCCACCCAGGGAGCCGTTTAGAAACATTAGTTTGCTTTGACTCTTACGTGCAAGCGATGCACTTGTCATGCCGTGTCGCAGTCTCTTTCTTTGGGCTTGACACCTTCACAGTGTCAGGTTGACGTTGATCACTTGCCACAAGATGCAGCTTGGTGGCCAGCATCACTCCATCAACACTGGATCCTTACACATGCTTCCTCATTGTTTAAAGCTGATTCTTAAATACCTCCAGTTTCTGCCTTCCACGTGCCAGCTGACACTGGTTGTAAGGACCAGAGCGAACAGTGCGATGATGGCAACCGCAACACAGGCGATGGCTGCGATGGCCAATGCCACGTGGAAAGTGGATTCATATGTGTGGCTGGAAGCGCTACACAACCTGACAGGCAGGTGAAAGTGATTTGGTGAGGTGCAGACTCTACAATCTACCGGATTCAAGCTGCCAGGTGCAGCTTGGCAAATGCGTGGGCAGAGAGTTCCATCGTCGTCTCCCTGAAAGGTGCGTTTACGCTGTAGAGGGTGGTGCAGGAATCATGACAGTCTGAACTTTGGCATCTATCGTCTATCGCTGATACCAACAGCATGCCCCGACATATTTGTGAATTGAAGAACGCCCACAACTTGGAGCTTAGGATTGCGCCCCCCAAATCACAGTTGACTGACAACACCTCGAGATGCACCAGACCGTGCAAACCAGTCAAAGAAAGCTGAAACGGCGATCTCTACAAAAGGCTGAAGATTGCAGACGCTGGATTGTTATTGATGTTTGCTGCCAAGCCGGAATGAGTAGCATTGTGAAAGGCTTGCAATGTTGTGGTGTTAGTTCTTTGGACTTGATGTTGTTTTTACCGATACCAGTAGAGCCAGTGAAAAAGTACTGGACGCAGACAAGCTCACTTTGGGAAGGCATTCCCTTGGAACAGAGCCATCCGTGTTTGAACGAGTTGTACAGCAATTTGTAGCTGTCCTCAACCCCTTAAGTGCGCATGTGTTGCTGTATGCCTATCACAATGCTACTCTAGATTCTTGAACGTTCATAGTTTCTCCGCAGGCTTTAGGCTGCTTTCACTTGGTCTCGTGGGCTTTGATGTGCTGCCGTTGTGGCAGCGCAGCAGGTGCACGTGAGACCAATGAAGATGAAGTTGCCCTTGCAACTTCTGTGGTCTTGGCTGAGGTCAGCGACACTGGAAGCTTCGTCAGTGGAGTTAGCTTGCAGTGTACGAGATTTTGTTAGGTAGTGTTGATCCGCAAAAAGTGTTGTCTGTCTATATGGCGTCATGATTGCGATATGTGTGGATTTCGTGCCACAAAACCGGGTCGCTTGAACCTGAGTTCTTGTGCATGCAGCTTTTGGCATACCGCCGCTGCTACTTTTCGAATCCTGCTCCTATGCAGGGGCCCCTTGAGTCACGACATGACAGGCAACGCCCAAAGGAAAAGACTGTTCCGTTTTCACGTGAGCACTTCGAGCGGCTTTCACGTTGGTTCGCTTTTCGCGTTCTTTCATATTGGTAGCGGAGCCTACCCAAAGCGGTAGGCTCCAGCACGCGCGACGCCATGTCCTCAAGCCCGAGGCGCGGAACCTCTCGCCCTCCTGGCGGCAGCTCCATGGCGAGCGGCGGTGCTGGCGCTGGCAGAGATGTCAAAGACAACTTCGTGCCCCGCTTTGAGAACACCACCGTCGGCTACACCGAGTGACGACGAAGAGTGAAGTTGTATGCCCGGAAGCTGGAGCTTCAGGGCAGGAAGAATGAAGTGGCACTGAACGTGCTATCCGTGTTGGAGGGCCCATCATGGACCCAATGCGAAGACCTTGACATCCAGGAACTCGAGAAGGAGAATGGCCTGGAGATCCTCTTGAAACGCCTAGACAAGCAGTGAGCCTACGACTCAAAGGTCGAGATGCCGACCCACTTTGATGCCTTTTTCTTCAAAATGAGGCGCAAGAAGGATCAATCCATCCTCGAGTACACCACGGAGTTCCACCAAGCTTTGAGACAGGTTGCAAAGCACAAAGTCGACCTACCAGAAGAAGTCACAGGTTGGCTGATGTTGAAAAGGGCAGGTTTGACCCGTGAACAAGAGCAGCTGGTTCAGACGAACATCGGATCAGCTTTGACCCTGCCTGCCGTGGAACAAGCTCTCTTCCTCATCCTTGGACAAGATCATCGGCATGTTCACGTCCCCTCTCATTTGAGAAAGCCTCAACTCCCTGGCCGATGGAAGCGACAAGGACAAGTGTTCTATGAGGAGGAGTATGACCATGACGAGCCCTACGATGACGATGACATGTACTACCAGGACGCCCTGGAGTATAACGACGAGCATCAGGAGACCTTTGATGACTGGAATGACTATGAGCCTGATAGCACTTACTACCAGGATGAAGCCAACGACGATGCGGACAACATGTTCGACGCCCAGGAATTCGACGACGTCTACAGCACCTATGTGGATGCAAAGAACCGCCTGAATCAACTCAGGCAGAGTCGTGGCTTCTACCCCGTCGTGGCCGTCATGGAGAGTGGAAAAGGTCAGATGCCAGTGATGGCTCAAAGTCCATCCAAAGGCAAAGGGAAGGGCTCAGGGAAGCCCAAATCTCCTACGAAAGGCAAAGGCTCATCCAAGAGTGGAAAAGGTCCCATGGGCAAGTCTCGAGCTCGATCGGCTATGGTTTGTCTTCGATGCGGCAAGCCTGGACACTTTGCAGCGAACTTGAACTCCTCTCAAGCAGCTGGCTCATCATCTCCGAAGAAGCGACCAGCTGAGGATGACTCCATGATCAGCATGGCCTTCCACCAGGAAGAGTTCTTCGATGTCGTCGAGACCTTCGAGCCTGAGATCTTCTATGGCCCTGAAGAGGCCTACGCTCAGGGCGAAACCTTGGTTCGGGCTGGCGTCCTGAGCCTGACTCGTGCATCCAAGACCAAGGAGCTTCGTCATTTCTGGCTGGCAGCGAGTACGTCCTGAGGTACCTGAAGTGGTTGGAGATCCTTGGATTCCCCATGGACGACGTGGTCTTCAAGCGCTGCGACAAAGCATTTCGCTTCGGAGGCGATGCATCTGGTCACGCACGATGGATGGTTGAGCTCCCGACGAGATTGGCTGAACATGGAGGCCGCATCCAGGCCTATGTGATCTATGGCGCAACGCCAATGTTGTTTGGACGTCCTCTCCTTGAAGCTCTACACGCTGAAGTTGATTTTGGCAGGTCTCGAATGAAGCTCCTTCATGAGCATACCTGGCGGGACATCCCTCGTGGCCGTCAAGGTGCAATGCTCTTGCGATTGGCTGAAGGAGTTCATGATCCCAAGGATTTCTTCCCGACAGCCTTCGACCTGCGATGTGAGGACGACCATGACCAAAGCCTCAAGCTCAAGGACTTCCTCGATGACCTCAACGCCCACGAGCGCTTCTTTGAGATGACCACTGAAGTTCACGCCTATTTTCAGGCTTGTGAGAAAGGAGAAATTCCAGATGACACCACGTACATGGAGGTGGATCAGGAGAACGTCATTGACATCCCTCCTGAGGTACAGAGGTGAATTCCCCCCTTCACCACCCCCTGCGACTGCACAGCTCAATCGGCGCAAACGAGCGAGTCTCTGTTTTGTCCGCTTCGAAGTGCCGAAGGTGAGATCTGTGGCGTCCTCGCCTTGCCTCGCCAAGACTCATCTTCTCGGTGCGTCTCCACGTGGTTCAGATCCGTGGGCGTCCACACGGCTCGGTGAATAGTCGGAGTCGGAGTTTGGGAATGCCTTGAGAGAGCAGAGCGTGATGGACCGCTGAAAAGATGGAAAGATCTACACCATGTTCGAGGCTCAGTTGGCCGACCACAACAAATAGCTTCAACAACAAGTTCACCACGCCCGTGAGCATGGAATCACTCACCGAAAACGCCTCATCTGGGAGGTGTATGCCGGAGAAGGTCGCATCACACAACTCTTGGAACAACACGGTGATGTCGAAGTGATGCGCTTTGGCTTGCAGGACGGCTGGAACTTCAATCGTGCAGCCCACAGAAAACAATTGCTCAGGTTGTGCGATGAGTTGGAGCCCGATGAGATCTACATGTCTCCCAAGTGCACCTTGTGGTCCAGAATGCAGCAAATCAATGTCCACAATGAGGCCCAAGCCCAGGATCTTCAGGAACGACGTGAAGTCGATCATGAAACCCACCTGGCAATGTGCAAGAAGCTCTACTACAAGCAGGTACGCCGTGGCGACCATGCCCATCTGGAGCATCCATATTTGAGCTTGGCCTGGGAGACCAAACATCTTCGCCAACTACCAGGACATCAGGCCATCTTCGACCAGTGTGCCTATGGTGCGGTGATTGAAGCTGATGATGGCACTCTCATGCCCATCAAGAAAACTACAAGATTGCAAACCACAAAGTGGGCCATGTACCAGCTGATGTCCAAGCGATGTGACGGTCAGCGCCTTCATCAACGACTTGAAGGAAGAAATCGATGCCGCAAAGCCGAGAACTACCAGGACGAGCTGGCCTCAGCTTTGGTTCGAGGGCTTCTCATTGTTGAAGGCCTGCACGAACAGGTCTATGCCGTCCATGAAGAGGAGAAGGCCCTGTCTGGCATCTTGCGGAAGCTTGGCTCAGTGCATGGTCATGAAGCAGTTCGCACGGCGTACCGCCTCCACCGCAACTTGGGACATCCTCGAAAGGAAATCTTGGTCAAGATGCTCAAGGACTGTGGATGCAGTGAATCGGTTCAAGCAGCCGTTCAGGATCTTCATTGTCCTTACTGTGAAGTTCACTCCGTCAAGAAGGGCAATGCACCAGGTCATCTTGACCGCCCCATTGAGTTCAATGCCCAACTCCAAGCCGATGTTCTTTGGCTTGAGATGGACGAGATTGGCGTGCTTCTTGAACCTGGCCATCGAAAACAAAAGGCCAAGAAGATTGCAGTGCTGGTGATGGTTGATGTTGCAACTCGCTACATGGCAGCTCGCACTATTCCCGATGAGAAGGGCCCGACTTTGCAGAAGGCTCTTGAGCGAGCTTGGATTCAGTTGCATGGACCTCCGAAGCAGTTGTATACTGATGAAGGCACTGGCTGGGCTTCGGATGCAACATCATCATGGTGTGAACAGCGTGACATTGAATTGCGCATCTCTCCTGGACAAGCTCACACTCGCACAAGCATTGTTGAGCGACGCCACCAACTGGTTAGAAAAGCCGTCTCCATCTTCATGCTGGAAAATGAACTGAAGGGACTCGATGGAGTACATCAGGCTTTGGCATGGGTGGTCCCCGCAGTCAACAGCAACACGTTTGTGAATGGCTTCATCCCCTCCCAGTTGGCACTTGGCAGAGAACCTTCACTACCTGGCCTCATCTCCGACGAACGAACTGGACCCTTGCAACTGCAGGTATCCGAGCAAGAACGTCTTCATCGACGATTGGCCATGAAGTTCTCAGCCCAACAGGCATGTGGAAAGGCAGAAATTGATGTCAAGCTTCGCAGAGCTTTGCTGCGACGCTATGGTGGACGAGACGAAGATCTTCATCCTGGTGAGCGCTGTTTGTACTGGCGCGATGCAGCCGACAAAGCCCACACCATCCGATGGAAAGGCCCTGCAATTGTTTTGGCCATCGAGCGCAACCCAGACACTGGAACGATTGCGTGTTACTGGCTTGCTCACGGCGCCGTGCTCCTTCGCGCTGGATCTCAGCATGTGAGAAAGCTGGTTAACGACTCTGGTATGGTGAATGGCTCAGATCGGGTGAAGCAAGCACTTCATGACCTTCGGCAGCGCCGTGCAGTGCGCATCATCGATCTTCGCAAGTCCAACAAGAGATCGATCGACGAGGTGGACCCAGAGATCAGTGACCTCGACTACACTCCAACAGACACTGAGGCTTCACCACTGACTATGTCTTCGCCTGCAGCTCCCGATGGTCTTGAATCTGGAAACAGCCTGGAGCCACCTACGTCCCGTGTGAGGATCGAAGTACCTACACCAGAAGTTCATCCTTCGCAACAAGAAGGCCATAATGAACCACAGCTCGAACTTCCTGATCTACATGATCATCCAGAGCTGGCCTCCGAAGATGAAGAACAGCCGATGGATGAACCTCCTCACATGAGTACTCCGATGGCTCCTCCAGATCCTGCTAATCTACCACCAGTACCAGAAGACAATGATCTTGAT